GGTCAATAAAATTACCCGAATAAATTGCCCCCTAACATACCTCGGTCAAGAATTTTCACCGAAATTAAGGAACCAATTTCTTCGGTCAACCACAATGACCGAAATGGTCTCTAAATATCATTCCCAGTCAACCATAAATAAATAATTTATAATATTAATATTTCGGTCAAATATATTGACCGAAAAAATGCTCACAATCTGCTAACCGCCCACCATCAAAAGCCGAAGGTAAAAAAAATTTTTTAGATTGCTTATTTCGGTCAATTTATTTGACCGAAACAAGCAAGAGAATTTTCCTTCATTTGAACCCATGTGAAATCTGCAGTTTTTGCAGATTTAGCAGTTTGTTTCGGTCAAGCATAGTGACCGAAACAAGCATGCAAATCTGAATCCAGATATTCCAGCTTGTTTCGGTCACTGTGCTTGACCGAAACAAGCATGGTAATTTTCCAGTCTCCCTACGCCTGGGGAATCTGCACTTTTGCAGATTTTTCACATTTTTTCGGTCAAATGATATTGACCGAAAAAAACATGGAATTCCTACTCCCCCTGCAACGCATGTGAAATCTGAAATTTTTCAGATTTTGCAGCTTGTTTCGGTCAATGAGATTGACCGAAACAAGCATGGAGAATCTGACTGCAGATTCACGTGTAATATCTTCCATTTGTGTCTTAGAAACTCATTCTCCCTTATTGCATTTTCACGTTTTAACTCTGCTTGCTCATATCATCTCCTCTCAACTTCTCAGTACCTAAATCTCAACTTCTCAGTGTTCAAATCAATACAATGAACTGCTACTTCTTAATTTAGTGTATATATAGTAGTTTTTGAGGGTTTTGATCTGATAAAGGTATGATTTTTTGCATCCTTCCTTATTTTTCTTTGATTTTTTTTTTATGACTTATTTTTTGGTAAAATTTTAGGTAATAATCCTCTGTTAATTGCAATACTCAATTTCTACATCATTTCTGGCGTGGGTTTAGAATGTAACTTCTTAATTTCAATTAAGGTTAGTTAAATTTTATCTATTTATTTTTCTTTTAATTTGTTACTTAATCTAAAATTTTTAAAATTTTTAAACGTGTTTATTCTTTTTTTTTTTAATCATACTTTCTATTTATATTAGTTTGTTTTTGATCTTTTTTAATTTGTTAATTGATTTGGTTGCTGTTTTTTTAGGTGCATATGTTCCTCCAAAATCATTAATTTCCCTCTGAAGATTTGTCAATTTCAAGTTTGGCCAAAATACAAGTATGTTGTATAAATGTTTTTTCTTTATTTTTTTGAAATTTAGTTTAGAAAAAATTAAAAAATTGACGTGATAGTAGTAATCAATAAAGTATGATTAATTGATTGATTAAAAGGAAATATGTCTAAATTGTGACTAATTGTTGATTAGTAAATATTGATTGAATAACTAAGTGTTGATTGATAGATTATAGTTATACT